ATATATATATATATATATAAATACGTTTCTGCCTCAATAAAAGATAATAATAACCTTCCTAAATGCAGCTACTAAAATAGCAAACAATAGCAAATAGATGTTCCTAAAAATATTCAGCTAAAAGTTTAAATTAAGGTCTACATTTGTGACATAAATGTATTACAAAATATATAAATAGATCCATATCTACGATATAGGATTATTATGCAAGTGGAAAGTTACTATTACAAAAGTATTCTGTAAGACTGAAAAAAGGCATTAATTTGAGACTAATTAGCAATTAAAAATTACTATGATGCATTAAGATACACTGTGAAGATATTGTCATTCTTAATCCACAAGAACTGTATAAAATAATTTCTCAATTTTCTTTCAACAATTTGTGAAACAAAAAATATAAGAAACACCATATCGCTCGCTATTAAAATATTTTCTGAAAATTACTGAAAATCTAATTGCCATTTTTAATAAAAAGAAAAAAATTGGCGAAAGAATATTTAAAGTAATACAATTTACAATTTACAAGAGAAATCAAAAAAGAACCCTTATATTCCTTACTCCAAAAATGTAATTTTCTCCTATAGATTTCATTACCAAGGTTAAGAAAAACGTAACATAAGGTTTCCTGGTAAGACGACAAATGAAACTGAGCAATAAAAGAAAAATCGCAGCCATAACCGCGATATTAAATTTCCACATGTGTATAGGTTACACGTGTAAATGTATGGTATCCATATCTAGAGTTCCGTGTCATTAACTCCGCGAAAGCTGTCTTCGAAATTCGCCAATTTTTTCCACGAAACAGAATTCGTTTAGACCTCATCGCATGCAAGCCAGCCAATCACTATTCCATAAAATTAATTCTAATTTCAATTGATCGTCTACACGCCTTTGTACTAGATAACAAATAGGTTGTTCAAACTGCAACTTCGTGGAACACGCATGCTACATCTGTGGAATTTTAATCAAAGTTAATTTCTGCTAATGATTTTCTTCTTCGAGAAACTAACAGACTAAATACAGAATAGTTTTGAATAAAGGAGATACAACGTCGAGTACGTGAGGAATCTTCATTGTTCAAAACGGTTACCGCGAAAATAAGGCAACAAGAAGGAAAAAGTTGAAGGAAAGCGGCGTGATGATCGAAAGAAAGTTCTTAGCGATAGAAACGTGTACCTTGTTCGACAGTGAAACTAAAAGTAACAAGAAACCAGGAGACACTTCGAGCAGAATGTGTGTGTAAATGTATAGTAGAAATTAACCAACTTTATTTAATAATTTATAAATTCATTCTACACGCTGGGTAGCTTCAAATCTAAAAAAAATGAAAAAGAACATAAATCGAGTGAAGAGTATTACAAATAAGGACTAAATACTCATCTCTTGCGAAATAAATTTAAGAAATAAAAATTAAAAATATCATACATACCAAGGTTTCGTATAGTGGATTTTAATTGTTTCAAAATGAGTGAAACGTTAATCCAATTTTAGAGATATAAAAATAGAGAATTTTGTTTCTTATGTCTAACTTGATAGATCGAGTGTATGTGTAATAGAAAAATTGTGTTAATCCTAATGTTAACGATGCTACATTAAGCACCGGCGCAGTAGGAACTCCATAGGCGTGTATACACCTGCGAATATTTGAATCGTCGAGCGCACAACAGAGGAGAGAAGAAAGTCGCTTACACAGAATGCTCATCGGAAACTTCTTCTAGTTAGAAATCTGAATTTTTCCGAGCATTGAGTCGCACGGCACAGGTAACTTTCGATTACCATCGCGTCGACGTGCTTTACACATCCACCGTGACACAGAAACATCTGTCTTTAACATAAAATTATAAAATTTGATAAATTTATAAAAGAAAAGCAAAACTTACTTTTATCATCCTGAATTATTCCTGAACAATTCTATGGGACAGATCCTGGTTATTTTAATACGAAATCAACGAAATATGGACTCTTCCTTAAATAAAGACAAATAAGGGACTTTCTTCTCTGCACACAATCGGGTAAATTCTCTTTGACGTATTTTTCCACTTGTTCCTTCGTCAACACTTTTCACTTATCGTTAAGTTATTACGATTGATTCACTGTCACACGACACGACAACGTATCCGTAGCTGCTGGGAAAGAAAAGGGATATGTGCGCGAGAATAGCGCGAAGAGAACGAAAAACGAGAACAATAGCAAAATCAAGAGAGAAAACTTATCGAAAAAAAGGTATACAGTGAATGAGTGGTTTCGTACTCACCAAGCTCATGATGCTGTCTGTGCCCACACTCGGTTAGCACGCGGCTTTTACTCGGGAAGATGATCTTCAGGTAGTGATAGTTCCATGGAAAAGGAGGGGTCCACGATGTTGATCCACGTGTATGGAAGGCAGTGATCACACGCGAAACCGGCCGAATAACGCATTACTTCCATCGCTATTTTCCAAATATGCGACTCGTGGGCAAAAATGCTACGTCCTCGTTGTTCATTTCGAGGTAACTTCCTGTATCTTTAACGTGAAAGAAGTGAAAATCCGTGAATCACGCTTTCGTGGCTTTTTATGTATTCATTAATAAGTTCAAGGTATTTCAAATGCGTTTCACAACTCAAAACTGACATGGTTTGAAGAATTAGATTTCCATCTCGTGTATAGAATTAGTTCGAATTGAGACATCTTACGGCCCTTTTGCGTATCTATAGCGCCGAAATTTAATTCCTAAAATAGGATCAAATCGTTTATCATTTCTTTTTGCGATATAATTTAAAAATTTGTTATAAATACAATGAGTTTTCTTAACGTTGTAGTAAGAATCACAAATAGGGATAAAAATTCTGTTGAAATTGTTCAAATGATTTATTATACTTTTAATTTACTGTTAATGCGTGTATACAATAATATCAGAGATGGAAATGATATCTTAAAGCACCTACAATCAATATATAAAAAGTAGTTACCAATTTACTATCTTACCATATTGTATGTGAAAATGTTAAAAAATCTGGAAAATAAGGAAAAGAATTGAATAAAAATGCATTGACAACGAAATGTATTAAGAGGTCAGTAAGAATTTTTTCATGTAAACTAAATAAATCATTAACGAATGCATCTTTAGAAGTATATCATTAGACACGAACACGTGAAATATTTTCTATATAATATATCTAATTATCTATGTTTGTAGATATGTGCGCGTAGAATTGTATTATTTAAAAAAGTACTGCTATTTCAAAGAACTTTTTTAGTTTTTTGAAATATTTTCTACAAAAGCATCAAATTTTATATATATAACAATGTATACCTTGTTAATACTTAATACGCAGTGTTCTCTATCGAATATTTAGAGTAATAAACTATTTACGGACACACTTAGTATCTATACCTTCTTGAAAAAATTTATCTTTATGCTGACGTAAAATACGCATTGAGTGAAACTACTGACTTACGTAATTCCTATGTTATAATTCTTTATAACATATGGCTTTAATCCTTCTAAAAATCATCAATTTTTAAACCAGTAACAATTTAAACTCGATTGCATCAGCTGAAAATATACAAGACTATAATCTATAGCTATCGCTATGACCTTTAATTGAATTGCAGAATAGAAAGACGAAAACCATGGCGGCGGTCCTATTGGCGAGATTATACTTTCGCTGCGTCGTACGTTTTTCTGACCGAGAGTACAAACGTTGAGGAAATAATACCTTGGAAATTAAAACAGAAAGAAAAATGGTATGTAATATATTAAACACAATGGCTGTCCTTTCATTGATATTGCATAAGAAGTTATTTACATCAATATAACCTCAATCAGAGCAGAAAAATAAAACGTCATTTTCAGAATCTTTCTTAATAAAACAGCTATGTAATTGATATTGTTGATTTATTTTTATTCTTATTATTTATAAATAATTTTTATAGATAATTAGATAATTTATATACATTTACTCGCAATATCAATAGAACCACTCCAGTGAATCTAGCGATTCAGATGACGGAGGAGACGATCAAGAAGGGTCTTCTTTTTCGGAAACAAACATCGAGAATGCTCTAACATCCTTTAGAGAACAATGGCAACGCGAATTAGAAATATCACCTAAACGAGACCGACCAAAAAATAAATCTACAAAAACAGTTAAAGTTGATGTTTCTAATGATGAAGAATCCATTGAAAATAAGGTATAATAGTAACAACAATACAAAATATGTGTGTGTGTTATATATATATAATATAAACAAGTAAATATTTCAGGCAAAAACTTTGTTTTTGAAAGGAATTGAATACGAGGAAGAAAGAAAATTCTATGAAGCAATTCAATTTTATAAACGTGCTGTGTTATTAGTTCCTGACATTGAATTTCGTTTGTACGAAACAACTAAGGTAAAGACAAATGATGATAGAGCTGAGGGATTTGATACTGATGTAAATCACATTGATGATAATGTTGAAAATCATAATGAAGAAGATGAAGAAGAAAATGATTTATTTGTGAAATTGTGCAAAATTGTAAATCAAAACAAATGTGTTTGTTTTCCTAAATTTGAACAAACTGTAAGTATTTAAACTTAAAATGGTGGAATAATTTATAAAAAAGTGTCAATACATATTTTAACATAACATTATTGTTGTCAAATATCATGATAGATTATCCCAGAGTATTCCTTATTTCAGACAACACATATTTCTGCCTTGCCTTTGGAAATAGTACTGTATATCCTAAGATGGGTTGTATCTTCTGAGCTTGATTTGAGATCTCTTGAAATGTTCTCCAGAGTATGCCGTGGATTTTACATATCTGCAAGAGATACGGAAATCTGGAGACTTGCCTGTGTTAGGTATGTTAATAAAATTTTGTATGAAGTCTTAATATGATCATATGATTATATAATAGCCAAATTATGTAGAGTGTGGGGTGTAAATTGTGGTACCTATACTCCAAAATATCAATCATGGAGAGAAATGTATTTACAACGGCCTAGACTAAGATATAATGGATGTTATATTAGTAAAACCAGTTATATTCGCGATGGAGAAAATAGTTTCCAAGATCGATTTTATAGACCCTGGCATCTGGTAGAATACTTCAGGTACCTGAGGTATGTAATAATGCAATGTGATAAAATATTTATTATAAAAAATTGTTGATTTTTATATTACTTTTTCGATAAACAGATTTTTTCCCGAAGGAAGAGTCTTAATGTTAACTTCAACTGATGAGGCACAAAGTTGTGTAAATTCCTTGAAAAATCGCACTCCACGAAATCCATCGGTTCTTATTGGCCATTATAGATTATTACACGATAATTGCGTTGTTCTAATGCTCAAAAAACAGGAAGTAAAAGGAATTAATACACAAAGAAAAAAGAAAAGAGAAATTATGCATGATAGTGGGGAACAAACATTTCATATTGTAAATGTTAATTTGTATTACATTAAAATAATTAATATTTTGATTATAAAATAGTTACTTATACTACATTTGTAAATATTTATAGGAATTTGAAATTCAGGATCACCATAGACGATTAAATTCGCAATTGAAATGGCTAAGTTATACTATATTTACGAAATATAGAAATGGACATGAAGTGAACATGTGCTTAAAGGAACCGTCTGTAAGAGAATGGAGAGCATCAGCTATTGGCGGACGATATCCACCGCTTAGATTTAGCCGAGTTAAAAGTTATACCCAAGAAAGTGAAGCTCCTTTACAGTAACTGTAATTGAATGCAAAATTATTAATCGTTTGGGCTACACAAGAGTACATAATGAAACTGAAATTTAAGAGAAGACTATATTCTTTAAGCGAACGTTAAAACTCGTACAAATCACTTTTGATGTACATTGCGAATACGCACGTTAACGTTACATTCTACCGCTTATAAAAAATGTACTATAAATACGTCGTAACGAAAAAAAAATACTTTATTCTTAATTCATTACTGAAGTATTTCTTAAAGAATTTTTATTAACCTACTATATAATTCTCACGTTACAATTTCTCTAAATTCTATCAATTAACTTAAGTTTCACATAGGTACTACAAACATATAAATGATTCATAGATTTAATGTATTGTTTATCGTGTACTCGTATGATGTCTTATGTGTTTTCAACATAGGTGCTTTGATTTTAAAATATCATTTTCATTTTGTTATTTATTTATTATCTATAAAATTTTCAATAGAAATAAGATCGAAGATAAATAATTTTAACGCAATAATTATATTGTTAATTAATTTTTATCAAACTATAAACTACTGAAGCATGCAATTTATACAAATGGTCAGGTCCGCAAAGACTTATTTATACGCGATATGGAACACCAAAAATATATTTATCTAGTACGTAAATTATCTATTGATAATTTCTTTTCAAGAAAAATATTTCTTTCCTTCAAACAGTCTTGCGGCTCTGCCCTTTCTTAACTTCACATAGAACTGTATGTCACAACATGCACTGGATCAAAGTATTTGAAAGAAACAGAAGTATGATTAATATATATCAATCAAATTTATACTATTTATTTTTTAATTATAAGATCTATCGACTGTGGATAGCAGGTCAATTTATGCCTATGTATGTAATTTCGAATGTAAATTGACCGATTGTATACCCTCATTTCCCGACTCCTTTACAAGGGCGATGAATTTACGTATGAATAGTCAAAACAACTATGGAATTAAATAAATTCCAATCGATATTTTGGAACAGTTTTATTCGTTTATACGAATGGTATTGATATTGTGAAATGATGTGTATCTAATTACAGGAACGAATGTCCGGGAACACATCTTGTAAATTATTGCGGATCTTGAATTCTTATAATCACAATAATAAACGTATTTTTGATGTGCTTATCTCAGTTTAATTATTTCATCTGAATAAAATCGTCCCTTTGCCTTTTACCATAGAATTTCAATTAACATTAAAAACAGTTTAGATATGGTTTATATATATTATTCTCTACGATATGACAAATTAATTTTTGTACTCGTACTTGTACTTGAACCGTTCCACGTATTACTTGCAACGCTTTCTTGTTATTATATTAAATTTTGATATTCATATATATATATATATATATATCTTTTTCATTTCTATATAATTGTATTTAAAAAGATTTATACGCCACGCGATCGCGAAACATTCTGATCGTCGATTAAGCAGAGTACCTACAGAAGTAACCGGCGGTTGGCGTAGGCTCGATTTATCACAGACTTCATTGACAAACTTTTACGCATACCCGCATACCATTCGATCACAGTTCATCGTGTTTCAACTGAACGATATTCGCTCTATTACACGTAGATGGATTAGACATCCAAGCGAGATCTTTCAGAGTTGCAGCGTGCATCGAACAAACTGCCAAGACAACCAACACGTGCATCAGGTTATGAGAATTCAGCATTAGATCCAATTTGCCTGGGATCCACTTCTCAGGAATACGTAAGGCGCCTATAGTTGCTCCCACAACCGATATGAGATCCTGAAGAAGCATATATTCAATATTACTACCAATAATTTAATAATTTCTTATAATATTTACTTAGGTATATATGCCGTTAACTTGACTATATATATATATATATGACGACATTTACTTGTAGTACAATGTGAAGTAAGGCGTCAGGAGACCCACCACCAATACCGAAACATCGTAAAGTCATTACCAACATTCTCATGAAGAAAGGAGGTGCAAAACAAAGTCTTCTCTCCCAAGGGGATCTCGCGTTCATTGCCTGAGAAATATATTTAAAGTAAGGAACTAAGAAATAATAAAAATTGGAAAATTTAATGGGTAAAATATAATATACCTTAAGAAGTCCCCAAATGCTAAGGAAGCAGTAGATAAAAATACAGCAGTACCAGTAAGTATCAGGTAGACAATGAACTGTTGCTGCCATCATAGGTATTGCTCCTAAAATTAGAAATCAAATTCTGGTCTATCAAAACTATTATCATTGATTATCTGGCAATTGTATAAACTAAATTAATCAAGTCTATCAAGGTAAATAGTATAGTGCTATTTACTATTTAATAACCTATAATTATATACTCTATAGCTTCCGAATGGCTCAATTCTGATGTGACGATAATTTTAGTACCTACCAAAACTTTGACACAGCCATATGCCGATCATGTCAAGTTTCAATAGTGATTTATAGAAGACTTCATCATAGTTTAAATTCATAAAGAGGTGATAAACGAAGGATCCGATCCACGGACTAACGGCACCGATTAAATGGCACCAAGACAAAACTGCTACGAGAATATTTTTGGTATCCCATGGAAGAAGTTGTGGGATCGTCAATAACATGTACAAAATGGCGAATCCTACAATGAAATATTTTATATTAAAACAGGTACCAAGATATAATCATAACCAAAAATTTATTCTGATAAATTCGATCCTATGCAACAAGTGATTGTTTTTATGGTACGATGTCTAAGTTTTCGCTTGAAAGTAATTTTAAGAATATCGTTGTATCTCCGTCGCGAAAACACGAAGTAGAACTTCGACTTACTAAATTTGTACACGATGCAAGGCTAGATAGTATTCTTCTATTTTTCATTGTAGTCGCAGAATTTCGTCACTAATGACCTCTCTCGTTAATTAACTCGTCGTGTAAAGTGTCTCATGCATCAACGAACAATGTCATTTTCAGCGGATAGTTCATTAAATAAACGTGAAATGCGTTTACGTGACGTTCATGTTTACCCATATAATCTCCTTTGCCTCTATTATTCTTCGGTTATTAATAAACTCTTTGTTGTTTGATGTGATTGACGTAATGTGACATTTCTGTATTAGAAATTTCCCGCTAGATGTGCACATAAATTGTTTCCATGAATTGTTAAAAATCAATCGAGTCGTTAAAAATTGACACGTGCTGTAACACGTGAATATTTCATACGAATTTGCCTCTTATGAATTTGAATACAAGATTACCATTATCAATAGTATTAAGAATAGATCTCGAAAGGATAACCTATGGCTTCGTTGATCGATCTTTCGTTATCCCGCAATGCGTCGATAGGAATATGATTTCTCACGTTATTTGACCTTGAAATTGCGTAGCTCAAGGGTAATCCAGTTTTCTGCTTTATTGAATCACGACAGCTACAACTCTTCCTTTCTCATCACCTTCAAACACTTTAAGGTGATTATATCCAGAAAATCGATACACGGATATTTTTCTGTTACAAAATATGCAATTGTTCAAAATACGGTTTATCATTAAATAAATTTCTTTTTTCCAATAAAACTATATATTATTATACTTTCATCTCAAGCTTGTTTACAGAATTGTACTATATAGTTCATATATGTATATAATAGTATCCAATGTGTTTATGCAAATATTTGTCTTTCGATAACAATTGTATACAACAAAATTTGTAATTTGTACATATGTAAACACTGGCACGTATAAAAACAATGACTTAATCGTTATAAAGGATCTATTTTAAATTTTGTTTAAGATCTGACTAGATTTTTAATTTAATTTAATTAAAAAAATTTTAAATATTTAAAAATTCTGCATTATACATTATCGTTTTATGACATTTTCTTATTGAACCCTAATCTCTGTTCTTATATTATTTCTAGGATTTACATACTACTTGCTTCGTCAATCACAACCACTCACTTAACCAGCCATGAGAGATTCAGTGTTGATAACCATATTAATATTAATATTTACAATTTAATACACTTTAACACTACAGTTAATTCCAATGAATTAACTTTAGTATTAAACTATCATCAACTGACATTAGTTAAACACTTTATTAACTAACAATGAAAAAAATATAGGTCTCGTCATACGTTCAACAACTACATTCAACAATCAGATATCAATACCAGACGCAAGAGAACAACCAGACCAGAGGACAAAGAACCATCCCAGCTGGCTCTCTTAAAGGACTCTCATTTTCTGGAACTTACCATGCGTCATAATATTAACGGTCTCGTTGTGGATGTAGAATAAACTGCCAAGACACTGACAGACGGTCATGAGAGGTCTGTATCCGGTGCGGATATGAGGATTGAACTGCAAGTGTTGTGGCATGTCGCTCCATCGTCGCAGCAGGCGGATCTTCGTCTTTTCCAGACGCAACGGTTCCTCGTGCATCCTCTGATCGTCGTCCTGGCACAACAAGTTCGCGTTCCTGGTGTCCTGGAGCGGAGGGTTTGCCGCCTCCGCATGATGATCGCCGTCTCGAAGCGACGTTGTGCAGACGGAATGATCGTGAAGAATATTCGAAGTACACGCACGCACGCACACGCGGTACAGAGTGTACACCTCCGGGAGCCAAGAGTCTTCGACGTCGGCGACGGCAGTTTCGTTACTGCATCACCTTCGTGCCCGATGCTGTCTGTCCACCACCATCCGTAGTTCCGGCCTCTCTGACGGTGCCGTTACCACGGAAACCGCATCGATCCTTTTCATTGCCACAGAAAGCGCACCTCACGAATACACGCGACCAGTTTCCGCGGGCTCGGTGTCTGATTTAGACCAAAATCGCTGCCTACAACCATGCTGGCGCAGTCGCCTAATTCTTAGGATGTCACCACTTTTAGAAGTCCGTGACGGTACAAATGTATGGGGAGGACGATCTGTGCTGGTTATTTTTATGGTTAAGAGAATGGGTTGCTTGTACTGCCACGAATCCCCGAGGAGATCGCTTTGGTTTTGACTTAATGACGTCCTTACTCTTGACGAATTTCTCTTGGGTTAGGAGGTGATTTGAATTGGTTTAGTATTGTAGGAACCAAATAATCTTCCCTATGTTTAGAAAGTTATTTCAGTACTAGTTCTATTTTGGAGACTTTTATTCTATTTATGTTATAAATTCTTTGACAACCTAGACTATTTCGAGAAAACAATGTACTTACTTTTTGTAAATAGTTCTCTCGTAGAAGGAATTGTAAATCGTATACTTCGAATTCCTGAAGAGTTTCACGGTACTTTTCGTCCAATTGCTCTTTAGTGTTCAACTGTTTACTCAAGTGTCTTTTATAGCCGGACTAGGTTAATTTAGGAAATGCATGAGCCTTGATATTTATAGAAAAGGTTGATTAGCAGAACACAATTACATTATAAATTATTTTATTGATAAATTTACTAACCTTTGATTTTGTCATAATAATTTGAACCATTTTACCATTTTTAATAATGTAAATTTATTATCAATTTATCAATTAAACTGACCCATAGAATTTATTTATTGTCATTTCTTACATTTGGTGGTCAATTTTTGTCTTGAAATTTAAATTTGTGAAGTATGAGTGAACAGTAATATTTTTAGTCCGTTCATTAGATCAGGCTTCAGATAAGGTACGGATCTTGATTTAGGGCCAATGTTAAACGCGGTCTGAATGTTGTATAAATCGAAAATGACGATGCGATACTCGTTGACTCTAGATTGTTCTCGGAGTGATTGATTTTTTCTCGTCGCACGTCATTCACTGTCTTTTAAGAAAAACAGGAAACAAGACCTAACACGGGAACGTGAATTTCACGCAACCTACCTCCTGCGGCTGTTGCCGTAGAAAATAAGGACAGACACTCAATTCGAATCAATGGACAGTTTCCAACTTGTAAGCTTATATAATTAATTTGTGAATCACGTTTGATTTCATTAGCTCCGTACAATCAATTCCTTTGTAACTAGTTGGTCTACTAACGCGTTATACATAACATGATTGAAGTACCCATAGTCTTTGTTCTACGATTATGATCAAAAGTAACGTCGATTTTGTTTGGTATCTGGGGTTAGTTAGTCGTTACGCCGCGCAAGCGCTAAACGGTAAAATGTGTTACCTGCATCGAATAAGCTGTAGCTACCCGGATAAAATGGGTGCAGGTTTAGTACAGTGTCTATTCTACCGTTTTACCGCGAGAAGCACACCTATTCTGAATAGTGTATTAAAGAGTCAAATCAATCACGATTATTTTTACCGTGGACGGCAGGTACGTCAACTAAAAATCGCGAGTAAAAAACCAAAACAGTATTTATTTTTTTACGATATCATAAAACTCATTAATCCGTTGTTCATGATTTTCCCTCTTCCATAATACCATTGGCGCAGGTCCAGTCATATCACGTGGCCTTGCATAGAGCAATCACAATCATATCGAGTTATCGACGTGCCCTCACCGAATAGAAGTTCTTTTGTGTCAAAGGGCTCGGTGTACCTTTGATGGTCACAAAATGTAGTGCACGGTACAACGTTGCTATTTTCCTTTTTATTTTTTTATTTTCTTTATAAATAATTATAAACCACCATAAAGAGTTTTGAATTAAGAGTGCAGTCGTGAGAATCGTCGAAATTTATAATAGTGATTAAAATGGTTGCAGCATTCGTACAGAGAGTTATGGACGATCACAACAAATATGATTCCTTCTGCAGTAATGAAATGCTACACTTGGAAATATTGTAAACTTATCTCTCTTAATTCAATAGTAAAGGTAAGTTGACTTTAAAATATGCATGTTCGAGAAAATATTTATTTCACTTATATTCAATTTTCGCGGTTTTTTTTACTGAGACATCCCATTTATCTTATGTAGGCATGTCATCTGTCTGTATAATACTTTTACCGATAATGGTGTAGTTACCCTCTTGAATGTACTTGGGTGTGGTGCCACCTACAATAATATACAGAGGTCATCAACTAGTCGCTCGGAATTTATGTGATTACTTCAGTGCCTCGTGAACATCATGATTTATATTATTTTTGCTTAAGATTTGAGTATGTTTTGGAATTTAATGGCTTTAATAAAGTGTGGTGTCGTAAGAGTAATTAGTAATCTAATTTGGGGACAGGTACGTGAAATTTGTTTAAAAAAATACATACAACAGCTGATGTTTTGTAGCAGATTAAATTGTCTTTTAATTCGTTTTTTAGACAGAAATATTAACTTTACGTTGGACTGATAATATTTACATAATAATTTAATACTGTAGGATACTATTTTTACATATTTTTATTACATTGCATGATTTGTTTGTGCTGCGTACAAGCGAGGTTATCAGACGTATATCATACTTTCCACAAACATGGCCCACTTCAATTAAAATATCTTATCTCTGTATCAATATTAATTGTATCTCAAATATTTTATTCCATTATTATAGTAAAATAATGAAGTTCGTAAAATATTTCATTTATTATCTATTTATATACATGTATTGAAACATACAAGTTTTATTCAATGCTGTTTGTTAGAAATTTAATGGACATGTGCAAATCAATTAATAATATCATAATTAATATTTTAATAATTTGTTTTTTATGATAACATTACATTATTATTCTCTAAAATGCCATTTTGCGGTAATTATGAACGATGCATAAATTAAAACAATATATTTTTGATAGATAATACAACGATTTTGAACTTTGGAATATTTTTTTCTTATTAAAAAAGAAATTTTAGGAGAATCTCTACTATTATTTTTTTTGTAATATGGTAGCCGGTACACGTTATGTATGTTACGTCTTTTTGTATCTGCCGGAAGTACATATGAGAAGGTTTGTAAGTTAAGTTCGTGCATAGTCGTTTCAGTTCGTAGATAGTCGACTTTACGATTCTGCACGAACATAGTCGAATACCATTCGCCAATCGCATCGATCCGATGTCCACATCGTTGTCACACACAACAGTGTTGTACGTAGCACATCATTGCTCTCTTTGAATATTTTGTGTTTGCAAGTACATTTTGGGACCAACCAAGCTTGATTTATCCCTTAAACGTAAGTTCTTTTATCGTAATATTATCACTGCATATTAAACTTGGATTATTCAAAATGTCCAGCAGAAATTATGCATGTGTTGCGTTTACTGGTACTTGATGCTTCTCTACCTCCAAGATGGCCGCCGTTTCATGAAAGTTCCCTTATGGCGTATGCTTTGCGGTTTGTCTCTCTACTTGTAAATCTTGTCGCTTTCACTTCTCCATGATTAATAAGTATATACGCATTGTATTTTATCACAATGTACAATCTATTCTTCAAGGGCTTTAGTATCTGAGTTCATTGCTTCGTTTCAAGAAGTGAGCATTTCGTTGGCATTGATTTTGCTAGTGAGCGTGCCCACGCGTACTCGTTACCTCATTTTCGTTTCATTTTCCTATTTTTCATTGTGTTTGCCATCGTGCACATTGTATCATCGTTCTAATTGTCTTCTCGTTAATATTTCTTGCATATCGAACGTTCAAATGATTTTGGCGGGATTTTCGTAATCCGATTTCATATGAAAAATAAATCATCTGGATTTCACATAGGGTTGTATTGTACTTTCCACAAACTTTCTGACCAGTTATAAGTATACTTACTTATCTTTTCGGAGTGGGCTGTATTCCATGTAGTGATTAGTGTGCTTTTACCATGCAACTGCCCACATTTTGCAGAATTTTTTGAGCTGATGTCCACGTCGTTGTCGAAAAACTCTGTCATACCACACGCATCATCTTCACGTTCGTGGATATCATCCATCCTCAGTTTCATTCGGGATCAAGTGAGCCTGTTTCGTCTTCCTAATGTAAGTACATGTAATCTGGTTTGAATAGAAAGGCTCTGGTCCTAGTATCTTTCTTAAGGTTATGCAATATTCTACCCATATATTGCATACATCTGTGATTTTGGATTCTTCAATTCTTTCCATCAGTACTCACTGTAATATTACATTAATTGTGATAAAACGTTACTTATGAATTTCTTTATCAAAGTAGTCATTGGTAATAGGTCATTCAGAACTGGTAGTTACATTTCATCTTTCTCACTTGATTCTACTTCTGCTTTCCATACTATCAGTTTAGTTGTAATACACTTGTCACGAACATATAAATTATCATTATTTTATGAAAATTGAACATTTGCATGTATTTATATAATGAAATGTATATAGTAAAATTGAATCTGTTATTTTTAAATTTTATTTGATGCTTAAACAGTGATTACTTTTTTATTATATTAATTTCATCTAATATAAACTAAATATGAATACCATACTTTGTTATTACATTTTCATAAACAAATTCTTGTTATAGTTTAATAATTTGTAGATATACAGTAGAATGGGGTTAAAAAAGTTATTAAAAAGAGTAATATATGTCTAGTATGATAAAATATATAAGTAGAAGTAATTTAATATCATTCCATTCTTTAAAATTTGATCACATGATCTAGGATTTAAATTTTTGTATATTTTTAAACTATTTTAGTTTTATAGTTAATTTTCATTTATTACTTTCTTTATGTATATGTAAATGTATATATGACTCTTAAATAATATATTCTTATTTGTTTCAGATGCCACGAAGCAGAAGACGTCATCGTACTCGCAGCCACTCAAGGGCACGGTCACACTCTGCAGGCTCTCTTCAGTATGAACACAAGAGGAGACGCATTGACTATGAAAGTCCAAGGAGTAAAGGAACGTATAGGTGAGTGATAGAATCAATTCATTTATTCTATAATGTATGTGTCAATATGGATCTGACTGAGAATTCAGACAATTGTTTCTCAGTTTGCATACAATAAACAAGAAACGTTCACATCATTTCTATACAAGTGATCTTAAACTGTGCGCAATGCATAATACTGTCTGATAGTGACCTAGTGATATGGCTAATAAAACTGTATGCAAATCACCGAATAGGCATTGCAAAACTGCGCTAATAAACTGATCAACAATGTCGTATCTTGACATAGAAAATTAGGTCAATAAATGTGCATCTACGAACGAAATAAAAAGAAACAGGTTGCAAGCTTTTTACTGTGGCAGCGTGTTTCGAAAAGAGGAGTAAAAATCGTCGAGCGGTTTTTGTAAGACTTGCGCAAAAAACATTAAGGAAGAATCTGGGTGGGGAATAAGTGGAGCTACAGCACACGAGACCAATGCCACGACCACTGTCTCCCACTCCGAGCGCGCCTAGTATGAACTGAGGAGGCGATAGAAATTCTCC